GCCCCCCCCCCCCAGCAAAATGGCCTAGCTACGCCTATGATGATAAGGATTTAACTCATTCATATTTTTCCCTCCTTTCTTTCTTTCTTTCTTTCTTTCTTTCTTTCTTTCTTTCTTTCTTTCTTTCTTTAGGTGTAAATGGACTTAGATGCTAAAGCACCGCTTTAAAATAAACTTATCTTACTACTACTACTCTCTTTCTTTTTTTCCGTGTGCCCAATCCGTCCCAAACGATCAGATTTCATCCACATTATATAAGAGCTAAATTACTTAATTCATCTGTATTCATCTCTGTATCATACATCGAAGAAAATTGATTAAATCACTAGTCATGCAAACTAGAGACCAGTGCCGAATGCGACACTCTCCACAGTGGTCTTGAAGCCAAAAAAAAAAAAAAAAAAAAAAATCGACTAAAATGTACCTACCCAAAAACGGTTTGTAGGGGGTGAGTCAATGGTACTTGTGGACTTAAAATCGCAAAAAATCAAAATCTTGCCTGATCCTAATTTCGAGATATCGAAAGTAAAATTCACAGTAAATGAAAGTTTTCTACTGATTTTGATCAGCTTTTCTTCTATTTATTTGTCCATTGAATCGGTGTTGATCGGTTCACGTTTGAACTAACTCTTTTTAATGTTCGTTCGATTCATGTCGATCGAATACATACCCTCTCGTTACACGCAGACTACCTATCACAATGTCTTTTTTTTCAACTGAACAGTTCGCCTTCTGCTGCGTCTGCAGCAATTGTTGTAACGAATATGTTGTGCGTGCTGATTTTTGCTCATTACATACTTGACGCTCTGAAGGCGTTTTATGTGCGTAAGTAGCGCAATCTGTCGGAGAGCGAACGAAGTAAGGATTGAGCGATTCATGCAATCGTACTTCTGCTATTCTCCAAAAGGGTGCTCTGCACTTGCGCACATAAAACGCCTTCAGAGCGTCGAGTATGTAATGCGCAAAAATCAGCACGCACAACATATTTGTAACAACAATTGCTGCAGCCGCAACTGAAGGCGAATTGCTCTCGCACATAGAACGCCTTCAGAAGGTCAAGTATATAATGACCTGAAATCAGCACGCACAACATATTTGTAACAACAATTGCTGCAGCCGCAACTGAAGGCGAATTGCTCTCGCACATAGAACGCCTTCAGAAAGTCAAGTATATAATGACCTGAAATCAGCACGCACAACATATCCGTAACAACAATTGCTGCAGACGCAGCAGAGGGCGAACTGTTCAGTTTAAAAAAAAGAGAGTACGATACCTAGGTAGTCTGCGTGTAAGGAGAGGGTATGTATTCGATCGACATGAATTGAACTAAGATTAAAAAGAGTTAGTATAAACGTTAACCGATCAACACCGATTCAATGGACAAATGAATAGAAAAAAAGCTAATCAAAATTAGCAGAAAACTTTCATTTCCTATGAACATTTCAAATTGCGATATCTCGAAATTAGGATCAGCCAAGATTTTGATTTTTCGCGATTTTAACTCCACACGTACCATTGACTCACCCCCTGCAAACCGTTTTTGGGTACATTTTAGTCGAATTTCTTTTTTTGCTTCAAGACCACAGTTGCAGTGTCTGTAAGCCAGCATCATTGGTCAAAAGGTTTTTGGTGACAGTATCGATGCAAAAATGTTTGTTATATTTTAAAAAAAATAAAATTTAAGCATTTTTCAATATTTCTACGATAATTATTAAAAAAAAAATTACAACTTTTCCGACTGTATTATTGACAATTTTAGAAGTCATATACAAAAATATATTAATATAAATATTTAAAAGATTACCCTACAACTTTTTAATAATTTAACCTACGTTGAGTATAAAAACTATAGATAATCAATTATTACATTGTCTGTATCATTGAATGTAACAGCGACTTCGAAATATTTCCAAATCATTTAAGGAAAGTTTCCGTTTCACTGGGTCAGCAGTGCGAGCGGCGAGCGCACATTTGAATCGCGCGCGCTAAGGTAGTTCAGAACGCAGTTCGAGAAAATGACGATAGATGGTGCAAGAATGTCGATTCGCGTGACTCATTCGAGTGACGAAAGGACGGCGAGACTTGGACCAATGAGAGCGCCGCTCGAAAATCAATGGATCCCCCACTAAGCTCATCACTGAAACGTAACTGGTCGTGGTAAGTTTTAAGAGCAGTCTGCAAGTTGAAACGTGTTGCACTAGTGAGTCGTTCGTTTCCCGCAAAGCGTCTCGTCTTCGCCCGTTCTAAGTGATACTTCTGCAATTTCCTCGCGGATTGCAAGTGCTGAGTGTTTGTGTTGTGTCAGTGACAATTGCCCGGAAGCAACCATGGCGTTCATGATGCCCGTCGTGAAAAATGATTACGATATCTACAAGTCGAACCGTTCCCGCAGGACCTCGGAGTGCTCGAACCCACAGTCCTGTCGAAGCCGCAAAGTTTCGGAGTGCTCGAAATCGGAAGGCCCGAGTCTATCGACGTCCCCGGGAAGTGATTTCATCATCGGGTCCCCTGCCCACAGGTCGGTTCCCGTAGGAATGGGCCGACAGTTTTCCCGGAATTCTTCTAGAACATCCCAGTCTAGTTTAATTCAGTCGCCCATCAAATCCGCCTCCTCGTCTCCGCCCAAGTCGGGATCGCAGTCGTCGCTGAATAAATTCCATTCAAGACTTGTGGATAAACTAAAGAAATCCCTAGGCCGTCCAACGGCCGACGGTAAGTAAGTTCTCGTTCCTAAACATTTTCTAAGATTGCCGCTTCTACTAACGTGCAATGATTCGGTCACGGGAACTAACCTCTTATTTCTCTACACGTTTCACCTCGATATTCATTCGTTTTGAAACTCATTCAATTCCCATGAAATACACCTCACACCACACCAATTTCAATCTCATCACCACGTCCCGTCTTATCAGTTGTTTTTTCGAATTTTGCCGTGCTTTTGTGGGCAGTGTTTTCAGCAGATGCAAATATTCACTACCCAGTGGCCCCACTGTCAGATAGGCCACCTCAGTAGTGAATATCGAAATTCACTAAGCAATGCTACCATCCAATGTTATCAAACACAGCTCATAACCTGCTTTCAGTGTTTTGAATGGTTTTTGAGCACTTATTTTCACTTGTAAATCACTTCACTTTACTCATTTCTCTCGAAAGTGTCCTCCATCATAACAATTTCACAAGTGCCAATCTCTGATCTGTGAGTGCCCTCCATTCACCTACTTATTGTCCATCTATTTAGAGCGACTCTGAACTTACAAATCCTGACTCGCATTTTTCTCACCAAGGCTTCGGTCCTACATTTGTTTAGTTAGTTCCAACTGCCTGAATACATGAATGCTTTGCTTTGTTCCTTTCTAATTTTCACAAATCCAATCATGCATCACCAGCAAATTGATCATGATTTCCTCCATATTTCTAGAATTTTCTCCTACAGAGTCTTGGAACTCTATTCCCTTCTCAGCCACATGATTGCAATTTACTCTTTGCATAATGCTTTTTATAGCATGAATGGACCCACTGCCATCCATGCTACCATGCCTGAATTCACAAATACCATTACCTACTCACTAGACATGCTGCATCATTCTCTCGTTTGCCCTGATAATATAGTTTGTCAAATATATCTCGCCATCGGCAATTAGTCGTCAGTTGGTGGTTTTCTGTTGCACATATTATACACCAGCTCACTATGAATTTTCTGTTGGTTCAGTTTGTGGAACCTGGAATTTACTGTGGGCACCTAAGTATTCGGAAAGAGTGAATTTTTAATTATGCGAGAAACCTAGTTCAAATTTTTATGCACTCTGCCGTAGGGATTTCTCAGTAGTTACCCATGATTTCATCATTGTTGATTCCATCATTCGACTCAGATTCATGATTTCTAAATTTGTTGGTTTGCTCTCACCCGAGTTGTAAGGAATGAGACGAACGATATAAAGATCGTAACCTATTTTCCCAGCCTGGCAGAAAACTGATTTGAGTATCTCTGATGAAAAGCTGGAGTGAAAAAAATGAAGGGAAACCTAGGATTTTCACCCAGGAATTCTTCCCCTGAAAATAAAGGGAATGCCAAGAAATAATAGTTATCAGCAATTATTCCAGACACAATGCCCAAATCATCATGTACAAGACCTAGAACTAGCAAGATTCATCAGGGAGCAAAATATCAGGCCTTAGTCTGGGAAACTTGGAATTTTAGCTCTCAACACCCCAAACCCATTTTGTTTCTTTCGGCGGCCCACGTTTTCTTGGCCCCAAGTATTGAATCTTCTTGGAGTTCAAAAAATATTCAATTAAATTGCTTTCATCTCTGGAGGAACTCAAGACTAATTTGACTACGTTTTGCATTTAGGAACTACAATTTCTGGCTCATTTGTAATAACCCATTTCTGTCCATCGGGAAACTAATGGGACATACTTACATGCGTTATTTTTAAGCCGAGCTAGAAATTGTTGTCGCTAATCGAAAAATGTAGTCCTACCATAATTACTGACACTATGCTTGAATGACCGTTTTTTCTGATCTTGGCGGGTAGGCTAGCCGAATCATGTGCTCGGGTCAAAGGTTCGATGGCACAGCTCGCGAACTCGCGAGGCAAAATCCATTTTCACCGGCTGCAAACGAAACGGGGCTGGCTTGGCGCTAACGCTGACACCTAGGCACGAAAGAAAAGGTGAATGGAACGGTATCTTTGACCGGTATGAATGAGCGTGTTGCACAGACTTCCAACAAGTTTAAACCTGCACAAGACTCGCTGGATCTTGTCCATCGCAGTTGCCAACTCTTGCCTTTTTACTTTTTTTTTTTTTTTTTTTTTTTTTTTTTTTTTTTTTTTTTTTTTTTACCACTCTTTCTGAACTGGAACGATTGGAGTTATGCGCTTACCACGAAGTCGCATCGATATTTTCGATAAAAGCGGTAATTTTTTCCTCGTCTCTCTTTGGTTCTGGAGATTGGTTTGACTTCGAGGCTACCTAATTTCTTTTCATTCTGCCAATGAAAAACTTCCACAAGTCTGGGTGTACATAACATCTTGGTCAGGGATTTCTTGGAAAAGTCAGGGAATTTCTTTTGAATTCATTCATTGCCGCGTTGAAGCCATCTCAATATGCTTGCCGGCCAACTTTTGTGCAATAATACCTGACGCACCTACTTCAGCGTGACGTGATGATCAGAAATTCTGAGGAAATTTCCTCAAATTCAGAAACTATAAATTGCTCGATCGACTATATACTCTTTTCCGGAAGTGTTGAAGATCCATCTTAAGGGACCGAATAATTGAGGCATTTTTCGGTAAAAGGGCGTATGTCCCTTCCGATGCTGCTAAAATAGTCGTGAAAGTAACTAAGGAACTCATCCAGCAGTTCTACTATGATTTTTCCCTGAATTTGCTTAGAGCTTTTCCTTTTTATTGGAAGGAAATAAGTCGACTGTGAATGAATTTCATTTGCTGCAAGCGCTGTAAAAAATTGCACAATCTTAGCAGTATTGCAAGCCTCATACGCTCTTTCGCCATAAAATCCTCAAATTTTAAAAATTCTTTTCGTTGCCCTGCTTGGCAACATTGTTGTTCACCTGGGCGCCACGGTGGCGACTAGCCATGCCGGTTGGCCGGTCCTTTGTTAAGCGCAGCCGGAGAGAGCACGTGGTCGAAGGGGTCCTCGATTGGGAATGTTCTAGAATCCTCCTCGTAGAACTTCAGACTCCAGGAAAATCGGGAATCAAGATAGACGCGAGACGATATTTCCGTCACCTACGTTAAGTGGGCACGGAGTTATTACCGCTATCGTTGTTCGTTATTACTATCTGAAAGGAGGAATGTAGTACCATTTCGTAATGAGGAATTTTTAGCTCAGTTTAGAAACAATGCTGTCGTGCTGAGGGAGAACGCCGCACTAGCTTTCAGAAGTTACCATATTCCCTTTAACCAAAAACGAAGTTACCAGGTAAATTGCGCATGTTTATCTTCAAAATTTTGCAGACAATTCTGTTCGTAATTTAATCTAAATCACTTGAAATTTTCAAGAAAATATATCCATAACTTTCCTCAGAAATGGTTTTTTTCCGAGGAAATTTGAAAACTCTCGATTGATCATACGGCTTTTTCTTACCATGGGAGAATGCATGCACCATCAGTTCTCTATGCACACACGTGTTTTTACGGATGAGCCAGAAATTGCAGTTCCCAATTGCGAACTGTAATGGTTGCTGTAGTAGGTGTATGCCGTATACCAATGGACTGAGTTTAATGGGACCCCATCAAGTCGCAAATCGGGGAAGAAATAGTTTGGAATAGTTGTAAATTTAATTGGTCGCGCATTGTCTCTTGCTAAGCATTCAAAGTCGAAAAAAAAATATTTTGAACGTGAGGAATTTCTTCAAACTTTGTTTCTAACGTTAAGTCTCACGAAGGGAAATTTCCTACCTTTTTCTCGGTTCAACCAGAGGTACAGAAACTTCCGGGTCACGAGGTCATGTTCGTATGGCTGCTGTCGTGAAAAAATGCTAACGCCAGCTTGCAACAGTGTTAGAATCGCGTGTCTCTCGGAAAATCGCGGAGAAATTCGCGTGTTCATCGCGAAATCGCGGCAATTAGTGAACAAAAGACGAAACAAAGGGCGTAGCTTTGAACATTCTGTGAAAAAGCGATTCTCAATGAAAGGGGAACGCAAGTTCCAAAAAATGGGATAACTGAGGACCATATGCATTCCTGAAAACTTCCTGCAACTTGTCTTTCTGTTCTACTTCGTTCATATGGACCACGTTTTGCACTAAGGAATCACTATTTCTGGCCCATTTTAGATTCAACAAATAAATCATCGGTGCATATGTGTCAAGAACCTTGTATGGAAAAGTCAAAGATTGTGGTTCTTCATTGCCAAATGTAATCCACATAATAATGACAGCGTCCTACCAATAGCAACCGTATTCCGCCGGTCTTCCGCTAGTCATTTATATTTAAGCGGAAACATCTTTCAAGAATGTTATTAACGTGTAGAAACGTATACTGCCTAACCAGGTATCAAACGCGTAACTATTTGCTGTCACACCTAATCGCAAAGACTAGAAAATTATGTTGAATCAACACAGGTCGAAGCAGACACCAAGCGCGCAACTATTCGAACTCCGGTGTAGGTATGTGGTATCACGCCAAAATGAAGGATAATCTTCGCTTTTCGCCCGTCTCAAACTAATATTGTGCTCGCATCTGATGTAAATTGCGTAATTTTCCGCGATATTGAGTTGGAGATCGTGTGATCTTGTGTGCTCTTACTCAACCACCGGTAAATTCACGTACATGACGTGATATTGAAGTGAGGCGCGCGTAATGTCCTGAAATTTTACAGAACCGCTGGAAAAATAGCGCGTTTGCCGCGATATTGAGGTGATTTCCGCGCACTTTTCTTCTTTTCTTTTTTCTTACAAAGTTGCCGCTAAAATTATGTATTAACCGCGATACTGAGATAAAAAGAGCGTATTCCTCGCGGCATTGAGATGCAATTCGCTTAGTTTCTCACACATTCACGTGCAAAAATCATGAGAGCAATTATTCGAACTCTGAAGTAGGTATGTGGTATCACGCCGAAATGAAGGCTAATCTTAGCTTTTCGCATGTCTCCAATTATCGACGTTTCTAAATATTGTGCTCGCATTTTATGTTAATCGCGCATCTCCTCGCGATATTGAGTTGAAAATATCGTGTGATCTTGAGTGTGTTCT